AGGGAAAGACAAACCGTCGGCATCAGACTTATCGAAGGTGATACTGTCTTCGAAGTCGTCATACCGTTCATGGGCGATGGTCCGCTTTAGTCTGTGTGCGGTGGCGAGCTTGACGTGATTGATCACTGACTCGTCGCCGCCTCCGACGATCATGTTTATCGTGCGCGCTGGGGAAGGTGGCTTCGGTGGCCCGTGGGATTGTTCCCGTCCGCGTGCAAAGTTGATTTTCCCTTTGTCACTGAGTAACTCCCTCAGGTATCCCTGGTTCAGCATCCTGACCACCTCTTGCCGTAGGCCTATGCAGTCTTCGGTTTTGTGTCCCCGTTCCTGATGGAACTCACATAGGGCGTTTGATTTCCTTGTGGCAGGGTCTGATTTCATCTTCTGCGGCCAATGCACCTTGGTGCCCAGCTTCTCCAGTGCGTACACTATTTCTGAAGGAGATACACAAAAGTTATGGGCGGTTAATAAAGGGGGCGTACCTCTTTCGTTTCGGAGTGGGGCGACGTGTCGCTGTAGCGCGTCTGTATGCCTTGGTGGTGGATGGGAGGATCTGGTGTATGGCTGATGTCGATTTCTGTTGGAGCAGGGGAGTTGTTCTCGTCGTCCTTCGTTCCGTTGATCTCTCCTCGTTTCCGAGTGTATCGCTGTTAGCCGTTGGGTTGGCCCATTAAGATCGTCCTCGTCCGCTCGTACCTCGGCGCAATAGGCGTTGTGGATTTCCTCCCATGTGGTAGGGGGATATTTCATGAGGCGGCTCAGCAGCTTCTTGGTTGCCCTCGAACCATCTCTGCTTAGCCCGTTCTGGAAAGCGGCGATTGCCATACCTTCCGATACGTTTGGTAGACTCATCCTTACCCTGTTAAACCTTGCCAGGAAGTCCCTGAGTCCCTCTCCTGTGTTTTGCCTGACGGCGAAGATGTCGTTGACCCTGGCCTCCGCTTTCTTCGCGCCTGCGTGGGCTGTGACGAACTTATCTGCCATTTCCTCGAACGTTGATATTGCCTTAGCCGGTAGCTGAGAGTACCATGTTAAGGCCCCTCCTGTCAATGTCTCGCCAAACTTCTTCAGCAGTACCGACGGTACCTGTTCTTTCGATAGGTCGTTGCCCTTCACAGCGGTGACGTAGTGGATCAGGTGATCCTCGGGATCTGTGGTTCCGTCATATACCCTCAAGTAGGGTGGCATCTTGAAGGTTTTTGGGGTGGAGTGAGGGGCAGCTTCTTCAGTGTATGGTTGTTCAACGAATCTTCCCACGTCGCGCTTTGGTAGCAACTTGGGAGCACCGGGGATCTTGTCGACCCTCTCCTGATGTTCCTTCATCTGACCGCGGAGCGCCTTGTTTTCATTTTCCATTTCTTCCATCTTCTTTAGGATGGCCGTTAGCGTGCCATCGTTGGTCTGTCTCGATGGGTTTGTTATTTGCTAGTGTAACTTCCGGTTCACCCACGGCAGCAGTGGTACCTACCATTGGTGTACATCCGATGTTACTTTGTGGTGATCTCTCAACCAAGCCACTTAGAGCGCTTGTTAGCCATCTTTCCAGTAGCTCTTTGACCGCTGAGGGTGCTTCCGTAACCGCAGACGTGGAAGCTCCTTTTTCGTGCAAGATCGTCAGACCTTCGGATGGGGAAGGTGAGATCTCTGCACCCGGTGTGATGCTAGGGGTTGTATTCAGGATGCCATCGTCACTGGCCTCGTTGAGAGGGCCAAGGAGATTGGTAGTGACACCCAATATAGCTTTCGATCTTGTGTTATTTTCGGTCATTTTCTATTTTTTTTTTAAGTGTAGAGAGTGGTAGTTGGTTGATCTCTAGGTGGATACTATGGTTTTGATTCTCGAAATCCCCACAGACAGCGCCAAATTGTTTGGCTCAAAAGTTAACAATATACTTTGTAAGCTAAAAAATAATCACAAGTAGAAAAAGGGTAAATCGTAATCAAATATAATAATCCTAGAGATGCAAAGATGATAATATTGTTGTAGATCTAGTATTGCAAAGGGACAGTATGAACTCAATAAGATGCGTTCGTTTGAAGTAGAGATAGAGAGAGAAAGCCAGAAAAATGAGAGAGTTGTATTAGATCAGATGCCCTCTTTACAATGTGAAGGTCTCCTTTATATAATAGGAGACCTTCCTCGAAAGAATCAAAAAGTTACAAAGATAGGTAACGTCTCCCTAGTGAAAACATTGAGTCCTAAACGATGTCGCTTTTGCCCCCACGGCCGAGTCGTACCCGCTACGTTGGCAGGCGTACACTTATTGGGCGTACCCACTGGCGTAGAGATGCTGAGAGTCAAATTTGACCCTATACAAGGACGAATATTGATGCCAACAATAAAAATTTTGGCCATAATAGTTTAGTTGAAGCAACCGAACATACACCAAGAACATCTTCTATAGGGAGGATACAAGTCTACAACAACATTACATCATAATATCTCATCCAATACAACATCTATTATTGTAAATGTTATATAACTAATTAAATTATTCATGTTGTCAGGTTCAATATCCAACAATTATGAGCTCACCTATTACGTTAATATAATGACACTTATTTTCCATTTAAATGCATATTGGATCTATTACAACGCTAATTGCTATTTCACACATTTTATTTTGTTATATACAATTTTTTTTTTATTAATAGACAAGCTTACACGTGCAACGCAAGTATCCCTAGTAATCTAAATTATACTAATACGTATAAATCTAAGCTATTACTCCTCATTAATTGTGGAAAAATAATCATTAGCTTCAAAGAGTACAGGGGTCAGACAGCTGTGGTATAGCCTGTTTGGCCAAGCTTTTTTTTTGGCCAAAAATACTTTTTTTTGGCAAAAAATTGAGGTGTTTGGCCAAGCTTTTGGAAGGAAAAAAAAAGGTGCTTTTTAGGAGAAGCAGAAGCAGTTTTGAAGAAGCAGAAAAAAGTAGTTTCTCTCCAAAAGCACTTTTTTTGAGAAAAATACGCTCAGAAGCAGTTTTTTAAAGCTTGGCCAAACACTAATTGCTGCTCAGAAGTGTTTTTTAAACTAATTAGCCAAACACAAACTGTTTCTCACCAAAAGTACTTTTGAGAAAAGCACTTTTAAAAAAAAATAATTTTCAAAATAAGCTGATTTTTGCAGCTTGACCAAACAGGCCAGTAGTTACATTGGATGAGCTTCCCACACTAATAAGGTTGTTCAACAGACTTCTTCAGTTCCACTTTTCAGTGTCAGCAAACGTTGTTAGCTCCGCCTCTACTCCATACTCTGTCCTTCAGTCGAATATTCACCAATGGCTTCTATGGCTGTATCACAATCTATCTTCTCCACTCTCACCTCTCAAAGAGGCTTTGAGAATGCGTCTTTACCTTTGCCTAGTTCAATGCTCAAACACTCTCTTGTTGTCTGTAGATCTAATTCACTGTCCACCCATTTCAACAAGACCCGCAATACTAGTTTCATCACCAACTGTGCTTCTCCAGAAAATGATACCCCAATTGAATTGAGTATGCATGTATTTGCTTCTTTCTTTCCATAATTGTTTGCTTTAGCTCCTTCAAATGTTTGAAATCTTCATTTGTTTATAGGGTACCCAGCATTTCCTACTGTGATGGATATAAATCAGATTCGCGAGATTTTGCCCCATCGGTATGCATTTCTTATCTCTTTGTATAAATGTTTTTATTTGGAATGAAATGGACTCGAATAGTGTGGAATTAATATTAGGACTTGTATGGCTGACACCAACTAGTTTGGGATATTTGAGGCATAGCTGATTGATTCATTTGGTTCAGTAATGTGAGATGGGATTACTAATTAGGGCCGGATTTTGTCAGTTTTCCGTTTCTTCTAGTGGATAGAGTGATTGAATACAATCCGGGAGTGTCAGCTGTGGCAATAAAGAATGTGACGATCAATGATAACTTCTTTCCTGGGCATTTCCCTGAGAGGCCAATCATGCCTGGTGTCCTCATGGTTGAGGTATGTTTATGACTCCTCTTTTCAAATCTTTGAAAATGGATGAATTTTTAGTTTCGTATTACCTATTTCAGATTCTCATGTCAATCTAATTACTCATGATTGTTCTGAACTTTTCCCTATAGCATGTTGGTTCATGTTGTTATTAAACAGATTGGTGAAGTCCTTACTCTTATTGTCGCTAGGTTTCCGATATTAATTGGAAGAGTGCTTCTATTCGGTTATGAAAAATGAGATAATTGACTCGTCTTGGAAATTTCTTCAGCAGTCGATTACGAGTTTTCTTTTACCTCTTAGGTATCCACTTGTTTATCATTTCAGAATCTTCTACCTGAAGTAAACTTTTTTCTCACCTTGGTTATTTGTCCAAGTGAAAATGTGAGATCAAGAAGATAACTGAAGTTAATCCTCAATTTAAAAGAATATAGAGAGCCAATAGGATTTGCTGCTCTGCTGAGTGAACTGTTTCTTATAAAATAATGACTCTCTTACTGATTTTTTCACTAAGACGAAATAGTTCAGTTAAGAAGAATCTCCTGCCATTTTTGTGAAATTGGAACTCAAGTGAAATGCTATTTACCATAGTGGAATTTTTGGGGAAAGCTTTTAAAGCAATGCATACTATGTACTCATTAAAAAGAACACATCACTTACTATGTCCTTAACCTTTTGGTCATTTCCCTTTTTTTCTTTCTCTTCTTTCTATTTTGAACATGTAGAGCTAGCTCCAGCAAACGTTTGATCATCCATCAGCATTTGACTCTTCTGATTCAGAAGCAAAGTCTCCTCCTTTTTTCTTGGTACCCACTCCAAGCTTTTGGAAGATGGTTATGCACTACTAATAATAGTCATACTCATACCATAGTTCAGCATTAGATCATATAGTAGTGTACCACACCAATCTTTGGAGAACATTTGGAAGCGACAAGTTATTTGCAATATCTATGACAGAGTGCTAAAGAGCCATGAGCTCTGATTGATTATCTCTTTCAGGTTCTCTGTCTTAGGCTGAACTCTTTGTCACTTGTCGTCCCCACGACATGTAGGGCTTTACTGCTTTAGAGCTGAGGATATGACACGTTTAAACACACACTCACACACACACACGCGCGCGCGCACAGAGGGGGGGGGGGGGGGGAAAGAGAGATGGGTAAAACTTCTACACCGTCATTTATAGGCTCAGAAACAATAGGAGTACGAGTCAATGCTGAGAATTTAAACAACAACAACAACAACAACAACAAAAAACCCAGTTTAATCCCATAAATGGGGTTTAGGGAGGGTAGTGTGTACGCAGACCTTACCTCTACCATATAAAGATAGAGAGGTTGTTTCGATAGACCCTAGGCTCAAGGAATAGTAGAGATAAGATAAAGCAGTCAAGTAGTAAACAAAGGTGACAACAATGCATTATGGTGACGGGCGTGAATGACACAACAACAACAACAAACACAACATGTAATAATAAAGCACCATGACTAAGATAATACGAAAAATAGTCTTAGTACTACTGGTAGTAGGAGAAACACACTACTAATTGTCAACCTACAACCCTAATCCTCGATCTCCACACCTTCCTATCATGGGTCATATCCTCGGGTAAGCTGAAGCAATGACATGTCCTGCCTAATAAACTCTCCCCAATACTTCTTAGGCCTTCCCATTCCCCTCCGCAGACCCTCCATGGACAACCCCTCACACCTCCTGACCGGTGCATCTATGTCTCTCCTCTTCATATGCCCGAACCATCTCAACCTAGATTCCCGCAACTTGTCCTCCACAGATGTCACTCCTGCCTTGCCCCTAATAACTTCATTCCTAATCTTGTCCTTCCTGGTATGCCCACACATCCATCTCAACATACTCATTTCAGCTACTTTCATCTTCTGGACGTGGGACTTTCTGGACATGGGACTTCATAAATGCTGAGAATTTATGGGGCGTGAAAATAACAAGATCACATTGCAGTAGTTTACAAATGACAGAATGATTTTTTGTATAAGAATGGTGATTGGTTGTACAATATAATAGAAATTTAATGAAGTTCTAGAAGATTTAGAACAACAGCAATTCATTGCTCGAAGAAGAGTCCTGGTCAACACTTTTCAAGTGATAGCTCAGACATTTTGTTTGGCATATAAATGTTCTTGGGTGGTTAGTGGGTTATCAAAAAATTTCTTGTTCTCGTGTGGTTGGTGATATTGGGCATTTGAACCCTTTAGAAATACTTGTTATATGCACAGTTTCTGATTTGCCCTTATATGAAACATTTGTGATTGTTTGAGAGAAATTAGTGGTTGTATTGATGCATATTTCATCCATGGGTAAATATGCGACCCTTCTGGATGGAAGATAAAACTATAATAAGGCGATAGTTTTCGAATTTTGATACTGCCATAAAATGCTAAGATATGCTCTATAGTGTAATGCATGCTTACCATGATTTGTTAATCAATGAAAAATGTGTGCCTGACCTGATTAAAAAAAAAAACTGATCAAAAAATGAAAAATGTGTGCCTACTATTTTGGTGGGACAACTAATTGTTATATGGACCCCAGATTCCTCCATTGACAACTATTATGATCTATCCTTCTTGGAAACCTTCTCTAGTGGAGCTTCTTGTACCTATTGTCATTATAACATGGAAGATTATGTGTGATAACTAGCAATGTACAGGCTGTTTTGAAATTTTAACACTTATTCCTCTTGTCAAAATGCTTTTAACGGTGTGATAATTTTAATTATCTTCTTTATAGTTTTTCATAATATAAGTGGAAGTAGAGTCACTTTTGAATGAAAAGGTGATAGCCGGACTCCATTGGTATAGTACAAAAAGCATGGAGGACCACACCCTGATGGTCTCTGAGAATACTAACTACATGACTTTAGTTACTGCTAGGGCTGTAATCAGCCTCCTTTTTTTCAGGTAATCACCCTGGGTTTAGATACACCTATTCTCTATGACATTGAGGAAGTCCAAATATCCAGCCCTTTCGGATTTGTTCCTAACACATCAGTCTATCCCAGACCCTAGAGTATTAGATTATCAGTATTCAGTATACCAAATACAGGCAGAACTACAAGGTGAATCTTTCGTTTTTAAAAGGGAGTTCTAGAATTCAGTTTAAAATGAAGAAGTGTTACAACAATTCACGAGGAAAGGGAGGGAAGTTAATGGTATGTGTAGGTAGGACGAGTTGTAGTTGCAGGATCATGCAACATTGAATGCAAAGCTTATCACTTATTTTCATCTTCTTTTCAAATTATTTATTTGAAGTTGTCTAAATTTTGACTTCTTTGGTTATCTTACCTTTCTTGCTGTAAGATTTTAATTTTATCAAACTTTGATGGGTGTCTATTTCTGTCAATTCAGGCAATGGCCCAAGTTGGTGGCCTGGTCATGCTACAACCTGAAGTGGGAGGCTCCAGAGAGAACTTCTTCTTTGCTGGAATAGACAAAGTAAGGTTCAGGAAGCCAGTGATCGCTGGAGATACTTTAGTAATGAGAATGACACTGATCAAGCTGCAGAAACGGTTTGGAATAGCAAAGATGGAAGGAAAGGCATATGTAGGAGGGGATGTAGTCTGCGAGGGTGAGTTCTTGATGGCTACAGGCAGTGAGTAATGATGTGAAGCTATTACTAGGAAACTTTTTTGCACCTTGATCAGTTTTTCTCCCTCCATCCGCCCCTATAAATGTTAAACTAGGGAATCTCATAAATTTCTTTTTCATCTGAAGAGTAGTTGAAATCTATGAGCTTTTGGTTTCTGTCCTTGCCAAAGATAAACCAAATGGTATGTTACATTCAGGATGAATGCGAAATTTCTATGTCTGTGACTGAGGGTTCTTTGTCCTTACGTGCATTGATATGAGAATCCTGATTCTTATTGTATGATATTTTGATCTTATAACCAGGAAGAAGCAAGACTATACTGCCATTGGTGAGGTTTGTGAAGCATTTTGTTCAAATTTTCATCTGTGACTGCAAATTATGCTCATTCTTGGACTAGCTTCGTCAGATTAATTCATGATTCATGAATCAGTTACCTGGAATTTTTACTACCATAGCACTGCCTCTGCATTGTTACACTTTACATACTCTCCCGCTTGGGCCAAAGCAAACTTAAATCTTCCTTAAACTATAGTTTTTGTAAGATGATAAACTGTTTCAAGGGGGAAGGATTTAAATTATCACAAGAGGGGAAAGCATGAAGTGACTAGTCCATGCCTTGGTTTCTTCTTTCTACATCCAATTCTTTACAGCAATTTTTTAATAATATGAAGTTCCTTACAAACCAAGAGCTCCAAGGGGTGTCTTCCCTTGCCCGGCCTCAATGTAGAAAATTAACATGGCTAACATAGCAAGTCTAGCATGCTTGATCTCAGCAACCTTTAGTCTCTCAAGCTTCTCTGTGTCAGGGATGTAAACACCGTCCTGAAGTGTACCAGCTAAGGACAAGGGATCAAAGAATTTGCCACCAGGGTAACCCTGTTCTCCAGTGAAGTTGGCAAAGTTCTCAGCAGTCTTGGACCATGGAGTTGCCCACTCTACTGACTGAGATTCAGGGTTGAAGAAGTCCACCCACCTTTTGCTCTCAACCCACCCCATGAGTAGAAGTTGAGTGCCAAGAAGTGATCCAAAAGAGAAAGGTGCAATAGCACCGGGGTCAGCACCAGCCTCGAACCATGGAATGCCACTCCAGGCTTGACCAACAAAGATGCCCAATACTGCAGCCATTGCCCATCTGCCGTGAATGAGCTCTGCTTCTCTGTACCATTTCAAGAATGCAGGGTCCTTGCCAAGACCAAGTGGGTCAAAACCATAGTCACCAGGGAGCCTGCAAGTTCAAATGCAGTTAAGCCTTTGCGAAAAATGAAACATTAGCAGAGACGAATCTAAAGCAAGTTCAGGGTTCAAGCTTTCAGCTCGAACCATATATACATGTTCTGAATACACTAATTTTAAATCCTAGATTCGTCTCCAGTGGATGGAGGTTGAGGGTAGGAGATATAAAGTGAACTTACGAGCCATCGAGCCACTCAGGGTCAAGCAAATTGCCACCACCTTTAACAGCAGGAATCCAAGATTTCTTGGGAGCAGCTGCTGCCGCCACAATGCACCTCTTGGGAGTGGCAAGACCACCAACACTGGCGGCAACCGGAGAACCCAACAATGCCTGACTGTTCTTGCCACCAGTCAAGAAAGAGGAGCTCAAGCCATTAAGCACAGCGGCAGATGTGGTGGCCATGTTTCTCTCTACACGCTTATGGGTTTTGTTTGTGTAAAACAAGCTGTGTGGATGGTTGTTTTATTGTTTGAACGTAGAAGTGAGATTCCTAGTTATATGGGGTATGAGATCAAAAGGCCAGATTGTTAGGAGCCAAGTAGGATAAATGAAATCTGCAGATGAAATCTATGATCTCTAGTGGATAGATTTCGGACCAATAAGATGTTCAGCTCCATCTCTATCTCCCTTATTTAATTTGTGCCATCCACGTGGACAATTCCTTCCCCTGTAGTATATGCATCTGCATGGTCTGTAATGCCCCACTCTCCAACCTCTCAAATGCTTGAACAATTTGTGTATCACATAGCTTCTACTTAGTTCTTTGAACTATCATGCGGTTGCTAATGTTTATGTAGTACCACTACTTGAAATTTGTGAATAGTGCCCGGGAGTGTCAATGGATCTTTAAAAATTGATCGAATCAAACCGTATCAAATCGATTATGAGATTTATGTTAATAAAATCATAAGTTTTTATATAAACTTATAGTTGTACCGAATAATCGAGTAGGTTTTTTATTTTATAAAAATAAATCGAGAAAATATCGAACCGTACCGAATTAATTTATATATAAAAAAATATATTTTATATACTAAGTTTAAAACTAACAAAGAAGCTCCTTTTCTTGAGTCTTGGGATTATGAAAATGACTGTAAGTGACCAAATAATTAATATCCAAGGTCCCAACTTACAAACCTATTCTACTACTCATATTGAAACTAAATTAGTTCTAACATCTTGAGTAGCAAGCCACTAGGTATTACGACGATCTTCAGTAGCAAGCCACAAGATATTGAGTATTTCTCCTCTCGTATAATTTAGATTTCTCTTGTTGGATTCTAGTCTTTTAATAAGCTCTATTCTTGAATCCCAACTCGATTAGTATCTTTCCACTCGTATGAGTTATATTTCTCTTATTTTGGCTTAATTTGTTTTATATTACCATAGAATAGTGGGATGAATCTCTATTCTGGACATCTTTCATGTTCCTTTGATGATCACTTTTAAAATAGTAAAAATGTCTAGAGAGTTTTGCAAAGTCATGCAATTAAACATTATTGCATTCTAACTTTAACTAGCAACTCTTGCGTGACATTTTCAGAAAAATACCAAAAAATCGAGATGATTGGGATGGTTTTGAAAAGTCTAATTTTAGTTATACAAAATGAAATAACCGGTGTGGTATAAATTTTATAAAATAACCGGCCGAACCAAACCATTGACACCCCTAATAGCAACCAAAGTTTTTCATTCGAGTTAGGGTAAAAAATACATAAACTATCAATGTAGTTTAATCTGTCATACCACGTTATTTATCATTTTATTAGGTTATCGATTAATGTATAATTAGCTTATAACTACCCTAATTGTGAAAATATTACACGAAAGTGGATTCTCTATTGTATAGGATAAAATTGGTTGATAATTAAATACTCCTATAATAGAGCGACATGTGGACCCATAGATAGACGGAAAGTGAGACAGGTGAAAACCAAGACCGAGGCAAGCAGCTTCGGTTACCACCGGAGAGCCCCCGAAGGAAAGATTGCTAATGAAGACACACGACTGCCTATCACCCGGTAGCATTCAATAAAGAGTATTCTGGAATATGAAATACATAGTTCGTTATAGAGAATTATGGCATTCATAGCCTGCCGTTACAGATTCTTCAACGGCCCCCATAATTGTCATTTAAGAGAGGCTTGATCCTAGGACCTTGTTCCCTAAGTATAACTATAAATAGTGATTTCAACAACTATTATAAGGACATGAATTTTCTGACAAACTTATGTTATACACTATTCAAAAGATCAATAACATTTCATTTCTTGCTTATTAATATTGCTATTACTGACTTCGGAAGATCCGTTCCCGGAATCAGGCTATTGACTACCTTATTTCAATTTTAACGCTAAGTCTTACATTTTATTTAATTTATTTATCTTTTTGGGATAAATTCGATTCGCTTATCTATAAACCATATTACAAATTCAACTATATCATTTTACAGATAAACAGTTTGGCGCGCACCATGGGGCTTAGACAGTTGTATAATTGAATTGATCTTTGCATCTATCACTAACCTGTTTAATTCTTTGTTTCTTAGCAAAAAGTCATAAAAATGGTAGATAACGTTGTCAATATCATGCAAAACGTTGAGGCTCAAGAAAATCAGCCTCAACATGAAGATTCAATCAACGATAGCCGCAACGAGGAGGGCGTAGGCACTTCGATCCATAGCGGGCAATATCCACAACACGTTTGTGAGGCAACTCCAAATGATGCTGAAGACGAGAACAATGTGGAAACGGTGAGAATCTTTAAGGGAGAAACAAAGGGCTATTATGGTCCATCTTCCCCGACAAAATCAGGTCATGACGGAGTTCAAGCAAGCATTGTCGGGTGCCTCCGACAATGTGAATGGTAGAGGTCTAGTTCCTCCCAGTGCTCCCACAAACCAAATAGCACAGAGGATTGATAACAACACCCCGAGGGATGAGGTCACTTTCGACAGGGCCGGGGTGAACGACGACAGATCCGGTAACAATAAAGAGAGTGATCCCTTTAAAACCGAACTCATGCGGTTTATGAGGGAGATAAAATCCCGAATGGATCAAATCCCGGGCGCACCGCCGGTGTTGAAACGATCAGATTCAAAGAAGTACACCCAGTTGTCGTTCAAACCAAGCACGGCACCGGAGTTGATCCCGAAGTGGTTCAAAATGCCAGACGTGCCAAAACATGATGGGACTTCGGATCCTCAGGAGCACATCACCACCTATACAACGACAGCGAAAGGAAACGACTTAGCTCCGCACGAAATTGAATCAGTCTTACCCTTACAAAAGAGCCTTGACATGGTATTCACTTTTGCCCGAGCACTCAATAGATTCCTTCGATATGCTTGCGGATTCTTTTATCAAGGCCATGCCGGTTCCAGGAAGGTACAGGCCCAAAAGACCGACATACTCAGAATTGTGCAAGGAGAGTCTGAATTGCTGCGGGAGTTCGTAACCATATTATAGAAGGAAAATATGCTGCTACCGGCTATGCCAGATGGATGGGCAACTGAGGCATTTACTAAAGGGCTGAATCCGAGGAGTTTTAACGCTTCTCGAAAATTAAAAGAAAATCTGCTCGAGTTCCAGGAAACAGCATGGGCGGATATCCACAATCACTAAGAGTCGAAGATAAGAATAGATGATGACCAGCTCGGTTTCCCGGAATCAACCAAGGGTCGGGATCGAGAAACGAATAAGGAGAAGTTGAAGGATGATTTCGACGTAGATCGACGGTCTTCTGAGGTCGATTTTGCCCTACGAAAGGGCTGAAAGACGTGGCAAAGGTTTTCGGTCGGTGGATAGATTCGCTACTGATAGGAGAGCTGATTAATAACAGATCATTGTAGGACAAAAAGGTGTCGGGCTCCCGGGACTCCACCTACCCCAGGCCGTCCGAATACAATTTCAACGTCAGCGTGGTGGAACTGGTATCGGCAATGAGAAACATTAAAGAATCTCGGTTCCCTAGGCCTATGAGATCCGACCCCGGTCAAAAAGATCCCAATATATGGTGCAAGTATCATGGGGCTAATGGCCATCGAA